TATTGGGTGAAATGCTTCAGTATATAAGGAGCACTATACCGAGAAACACGAGTTTTGGCGCCGGCAAGGTAGAAGTGTTTACATTCTGCTGTCTCGACCAATGGGAAGCGAGCAGCCGCCATCACCGCTCAGCCTGGGCGACTCAGGGAAGGTCTGTGATTGGTCAGAAATAGAGAATGGGAACCTAGATGCGCGGCGGGAGTTGTAGGACGTGCGCAAAAAACCACGCTATGAGGACCGACTACACTCGGGTCTGCCCGGTAAAGGGTATTAAGCCAGGTCTCAGTAAGAATAATGCAGGAGAAGGGTGTCTTTAGTGATTCAAGGAGTGCCAGAAGGTCATCATAGTGTTTGCTTAAGGACCTGATGTTGTAGTTAAGTACTGATAGACTTTTAGCATTGTTTAGGATAGTGCTGGCTTGTGATGCTGTGTAATAAAGGCAGTTACTTTCCAATAGGTTTTGATTGGGTGTCAGATTATGGAGGTTTAGATCAGGGTCAACGTGATCAATCATCTTCTAGGTTTAAATTATGGTTATTTATATCCTGAGTTGTGTGTTGAGTTCTAGTACTGATATCTGTAGTGGTGGGAAGTTTGGACAAGTATATAGCTAGAGTATTTTGGTCATATAGAGTATAGTCACCACTACACATAATGAAGTTGATGTTGTCTATGTGTTGTGCTGGAATGAACTAAAGTACAACTAGGTATAAACTAGTAATATAAAAATACAAATTAAAAATAGAACAAGACTCACTTGTAATTGCACTAAGGTCTAATATAATGACTTTTGTGGAGTCTATGTTTTGAGCTAGAATGAGCTATAGTACAACTAGGTTTAATCTAATAATAAAAAATACAAATTAAAAATAGCACCAGTCTCTCACTAGTAATTGCACTATGGTCTAATATAGTGAATTTGGTATTGACTATGTATTGAGCGAGAATGAGCTATAGTACAACTGAGTTTAATCTAATAATATAAAAAAGGCACAAGACTCTCAGTTGTAATTGCACTAAGGTCTTATATAAGTTGTTTACAAGAATTAGAGTATAACTAGATTTAAATTGACAGGATAAAATACACAAGTTAAGGTAGCAAAAGAATAATAAAAAAAAATGATAAAAATAAAAATGGCAATGACTTGGTTATAATATGCTAGTAAGATGGTAGACAGGATAATATGAAAGTTGTAGTTGAAAATACTAGTTTAAAAAAGTATAGAATAAAAATGGTCAATAAAAGAAGTTTACAATAAGTTTGGTCAATATAGTTTAAAGCAAAATTGGGCAATTGAGTATTTCTTAAAGTGAGGTAGAATTATTGAGGACAAGTTATGGTTAGTTTATAATAAAATAAGATAGAACAGTGATGCGGTAAGTTGTAAAAAAGGAGATAGATTCTGTAGATATTAAACACAATTAAGACTATGAGGTAGAATGGTCGTTGAATACAACAATGAGAATCAAAAGTAGTTGGGGTATTAGAATTTTAGGGGAGCACAAATTTATGACAATATAACACTAACGGTGGACTATGGGTATTATCTGCACTTTACTCTGATTCTGTTAGTCCAGCCTCACTTAGGAATGTTTTAAGGTCATGTTCTGTAGAGATGAAGTATCTCTTCCCAGTGGGCTGTTTCCTAACTGCGATTTTTCCATCCCTCACAAAGCACTGGTGAATTTTTGGGCATAGAGTAATTTTCCTAGCCGATAAAGAAGGTTTCGTCTTGTTTTGGTAAGACACTCATTGACGTAAACATCAGATTTCATAGAAATAGATGTTTTTAGTAGGTTGTTTCTTTGTAGGCTAGTTTGGAATTTTAACAGCACTGTTTTTTTACCCGCTTGGTAGCCCATCAGTTTGCAATCCTTTAGGTCATCACTATGTATGTTAAGGCAAAGGTGGTCCTTGATAAGCTGTAGGGTGGTCTCCATGCAGGTCTCTTGGGTGACTGTGGGTGGGAGATGTTTGCTGTTAACTACAACAGCGTCAGATAGCTGCTGTTGGTCATTATGGTCTTGGAAGTTGGTTATGACATTGGCAAGTTGTTGGTCCACTCTTGATCTTTCCTCTATAATGTTGGTAGTAATTAGGGTGACTTGGCCTTTTAGAGTGTTGATGGTGTCTAGGGACTGGGTGTGGGTGTTGCTTTGTTGTTCCAGAGTGTCCAGTTTATGTTCAAGAGCAGTGATCTTGTTGAGGTAATCTGCATTGCTAGCTTTTAGTTCCTGCATTTCTTGAGTTAGTTTGGTGATCGTTTGATTCTGAATCGTAAGGAGGTTAGCTATTTCTGGGTCGGTGATCTTCTTGACATCAAATACTGGGAAGGAGTTATCTTGGACTGTGGCAGCGGCCATGTTTGTTGTTGTCTGTCGTGTGTTGTGGTGGTGCCGGTGGGTGATGAGGGTTGTGTCCTGGCTGCCAGTACCACAAGTTTTCCTCGTGTTATTACTGCTCTCACCTTTGATGTTACGTTTTCTCTGCACAGCCATCAGAGAAAACTCACTTCCTACAAATAAATACTACTCACCTCTCTTCCCATATTAAGACTACATATATTTTAAGGTAAATAATGAGTGTACTGTATGTGTATTTTACCTCTCTGGGATGTTTTAAATATCATATAATAAGTATGAGATGGGGAGCCAGGGCTACCTACACCTGACTTCCTACAAATAAGTACTACTCACCTCTCTCCCTACATTAAGATTACAAATACTTTAAGATAAGTAATGAATGTACTGTGAATGTATTTTACTTTGTGTTTTTAATGCCTAGTTCTATTACTAACTTAATATAATTTAGTGTAAACTTGTTGTCTGGCATTTATATGCATTTATAAATGGAAAAAAATGGCGTTCTGCCTTCCGGTGATGTCTGCTTTCCGGCGACAGCCTGGAACCTAACCCGCCGTATAAGTGGGGCTCTACTGTACTTATTTCTCAGTATTTCTCGCTTCATATATTTCCAAGAATTGTTAGGTCTTGACTACTGTGTACAGTAGGGCCTTGCTTTTCGGCGTTTCGCCTTACAGCATTCCACTAATACGATGATCTCAAATTATAACCAAAACTTTCTATATGGCAAGCGGTCTTTCAAATACAGGGCGCACCACCCGGTTTGTTTACATTCTCTGTAAGCACATCTCTCTATTAAGTAATCATAATCACTCTTGGGCACATTAAATGTCTAATTTTTCGTCAGTATAGATATTTTCATTAATCCATCTATGATATTTTCTTCAAAATTATATAAGAAACACATTACACAGCATATAAACATTTTATGCTTATATGCTATGGAGGTGTGGTAGCCGGGTAGAGGGAAAACATTGCATCACTCCCCTTAATATATAATGCTTTTGTTTGCAATTCTCGGCATGAATTATTCATTACTTCTCCCTTTGTTTATGATGGCATCTAAAGGTAGTTGTTATAAACGATTAAACTCAGTGAATATGGTATGTCGATGGTAATAATATGGCTCTGGGCTGCATTAAATATCGTGTAGCTATGTAGGTAGGTGTAGGTATGTAGCCCAGGCGGACTACATACCTACATTATTATCATAACTGATACTTATGTGTACGTGTACCTAAGTAAACTTACACACTATGCTGGCATGCAAGTACACATTAAAATAACTAAGTGTGTCTTATTAGCCTTGAAGATGACATAATAATGATAATAATATAACACAATAATAATCACTCTGAGGAGCATTAAATATCATTTAAAATGTTAATATAGACATTTTGCTTAATCCATCTAAATACACCCCACAGCAGAATAAATTAACATAAATATGAGATGTGGTAGCCAGGCGACTTGCAGGACTTATGGTAACCAGGCGACTTTTAGTCCAACATCAGAGACGATGTGTACACTATAATATTGTAGATGAATGGCTCAAAGAACCGACATGTTAAATTAGACACATGTACAACTCTTGGGTATCTTTATTGAGGAAACGTTTCGCCACACAGTGGCTTCATCAGTCCATACATAGGAGAAACTTGAAGAACAGGAGGAGAATGAGATAATCAGTCCCTCAACCTTGAGTTGATGTGGTCAGTCCATCAATCTTGAATAGAATACGGCATATGAGCGGTTTATAAGCTGCTTCTCCGCTCATATGCCATATTCTATTCAAGATTGATGGACTGACCACATCAACTCAAGGTTGAGGGACTGCTTACCTCATTCTCCTCCTGTTCTTCAAGTTTCTCCTATGTATGGACTGATGAAGCCACTGTGTGGCGAAACGTTTCCTCAATAAAGATACCCAAGAGTTGTACATGTGTCTAATTTAACAACACTATAATATTACTGGGGGTAACTAGAAAATTATTCCTTTCGTATGCCTTCACTCAGGGCGTCATTTCTTCTAAAAATGGTGTTACATGAGAATGGGAGTGTTTCTCTATTTATTCTACTGTATCAACGGGAGACAACTTGTACACAATGTAAAGTGACAAAAACCAGACACGTTCGTCTGGTTTGTTTACATTATGTGAGGGTGGGATGGGGAGGGCAGCCCCTGCAGACTACCCATACTTCCCAAACCTGACTGCCTACAAATTAAACTTACCTCTCACCCTACATTAAGACTACAAATATTTTAAGGTAAGTAATGGGTGTACTGTATGTGTATTTTACTTTTTATTGTTTTTAATGCCTAAGTTCTATTGCTAACGTAATATATGTTAGTGTAAGGTTGTTAGCTGGCATTTATATGCATTTGTAAGTGGAAAAAATGGCATTCTGCTTTCTGGCGATGTCTTCTTTCCAGTAGTAACCTGGAACCTAACCTGCCATATAAGTGGGGCCTTACTGTATTTCGATTTAGTGCAAAATTAATGCTAGTTGGTCTAATGATGATTCAGAATGACTGTTGTTGATCTAGTGGTAGTGAATGCATTTTCTTCTTAGTTCATTCTCTGACATGGTCTAAAAGCATTGACATTATAATTATTTCACGATGTTTCCGCAGGTCGGTGCATCACGGCCATGTTTCGGAAGTACCACCCAGAACACTTTGTCTGTTCTTTCTGCCTGAAACAACTAAACAAGGGCACCTTCAAGGAGCAGAACGACAAACCTTACTGCCATGGATGTTTCGACAAGCTCTTTGGTTAAAGAGAATCAGTGTGGAATTGGAGCCAGGCATCGAAGATTTTGTGTCATCAAGTCTTTACAATTATTGTCTGTTTTTGGAGTTAATAAATTTGCAGAATACATTCAGAATGTTGAAAAGCATAACGAGAAGACAATATCAGTCAAAAATAACCGAACTGTTGGACAGGGTAAAGAGACGTACAAAAGGAAAGCAGAGAAAACTGTATATATATTCTAAGAAAAGAAAACATATCTTTCCACACATTTATATTATTCATTTATTAGTGGGTCAAAGAGGCAGTAAAGTGAGGGAAATATTTCATGGTATGTTAGCAGTAGGCCTAAGCAAGCAGTTTAATTCATCTTTCATACAGTTTATAAGGTATCCAGCATTTAGGACATTCACTGTAGGTATTCATCAGTTTTGTATCAGTATATCTCATTGCAGATTTCATTATAAAAGTCTTAACTCTTTACCAAGTATTGTATATTGGGTTTTGTATTTTCATATTGTAATGAGCTGAAAATGTATTTAGATCTATGTTGATGAGCAATGGAGATGAACATTAATTTAACCTAACAACTGTGAATCTAGAAGATGCTCATTGATAGAATTGCTGATATTGTTTAATCTCCAGTTTGAGTTGTCCATACTATTTATGTAAATATAAAGTTTTGCATCCTTTTGAAAAATACAGTATGGTATATACATTAAAGTTTTTGTGGTGAACTTGTTTAACATGTATTATTTTTTAGTGACAATCATTAAAAGGCATTCTCTCAATATTTTGAAGTTACAGTCAGTGCTCTGAGAGAGCTCTTCTGTATAGCACAATTTTTTGTAATTGCATTTGAAAAAGTATGTCCAGATTTGAATAGCCTATAGAAAGGCCATCATAGCATGTGCTCTCCAATTTTTGATAGGCTTTTTTCATCGCATTTACAAAAAATTGCACTGCACAGAGGAGCTTTGTGACAGAGCTGACCACACCCCCCTTTTTTTTTTTTTTTTTTTTTTTTTTTTTGCTTTTTATAAGTTGTATATTAGGTGCATGGCTCTGTCTTTTGTGTATCTAAAGCTTTAAAGCACAGCATATGGTCGTTTGACTGTGGCATACTTCACTCGTGGTGCACATCCTATATTTATGTCCTCAAACTCTTATTATATTCATGGAAAAGTGATAAACCATCGGGGTCATACTGTGCCTAAGATGTGGAAGGTAATTAGGTTTGATCCAAAGGAAAGGGTAGCTCCAGTTCCTTGGAATGAGTGGCCCTCACCAGCATCAAGGCACCATCTGTGAATGTTTGTTTTTTAAAGTTTATGTCAAACATATATATTGCTAAAGCAAGATCCTTCACATTACAAAAAATCAATAGAATATGAACTTTGGTAAAGTTTATTAATATTTATGTTTGAGTGCAATAAAAAAAATCTATTTTTAATTAGTCTAATGTACAGTATATTAATAGAGATTTATTTCAAGGTTCCCAGTGCATTTCCATTTTAAGTCATCAAGGCTAAGTGTATAAGAAAATATTGATGTTATGCCATTGCATAGGAAAATCACAAGTTTTTAATTCTTTGTCCATGCTGTAAGTCATTAATGTTCGATTACAATGTGCAGGATTGTATCCAGTTAAAATGGTGATACCATCTGTTTGCAGAATCGACTCATGAAATCCTAAAACATTATTATAAACAACTTGGAGATGGGGCAGGACACTACCAGTGGAAAGGCAATACTAAAATTATGAAGCCAGTGTTAAATTCCCTAGTGTATATAAATGTACTTTTGTGATATGTCAATATATCTTTTTAATTGACATAACAGGATATATATTTACAATTTATATCTTAAGATGTACTCCTGGTAACCCTTACGAGGTCTAGTTCCTATGCTCTTTGTGTATCTATATGTTGTTGCTCTAACATTCACTGGATGATATGGGTGCACAATAAACTGGCTGTTTCAGTGGCAAAATCTTATTAGGCTGGTATGGTACAGTGATAAGAGTGTTAGCTTGGTAATTTTTTGACTGCCTTGCCACAGCCGAAGTCCTGTCCCTTCTTGGAGTTGTTTATGACCATGTTGAATTAATTCCATGAGTTGTTAATAATGGCTATGGAGGAACTTGAGAAGCTAAATTTTGTTGCTACCATGTTGGCCAGAGATTCATTTATAAAAACGTGCATCTATGGTCAGTGGGGCCAGTGCTAACCAACCCATAGTGTATAGAATAATATACCCATAACCCATAGTGTATAGAAGTATACCCATCTGGATGAATTTTGCTAGACTGGCATGGTGTAGTGGTAAGACCATTGGCTTGATAATATTAAGACTGCCTTGCCACAGGTCGAGTCCTGTCTGTCCCCTGAGGTGTCAGTATGAGGTTCATATATAAAACACAAGACTGGCTTTCTTAATTTTTTATTATTATATGCCTGAATTTGAGCATGGGACCTAAAGCTATTGTTGCAGTTGTGGACTACTAGTCACAGATAAAAGTGCCTTTACTTCTGGCATTTTAACTCCATTCTTTAGCATCAGGCCAACCAAGTTATCCACATTACTGAATAATTGAAGTGCAAAAAATTTACCATGTATTGATATTAATGATGTGTGGAGGACAAAATTTGTCATGGAATTTAATCATAGGTTTCAGCTGTTTTATTAAAGTGTCTAATGCTAGCTGAGTTCACTTTGGTTCTGATATTAAAGTATAAGATTAGTTTTACTGTATAGTAATTATGTATATTAATTCTTATTGTGATTTCTCTGATGGATGTATTACAAACATGCATGTGTGTGTTCTTAAGCAAAGTCAGATTAATTTATTCAAGTGCATTAATGACTTGTTTATCTAAGTTTGGCTGTCATAAGTTGTAGCTTTATTCTAGAAATGTATTCACATAGTGTATTTTGAATTTATTTTAATGGAATTTTACAGAATGCTTCAGCCTGGTAAGCCATAGTTAACTTGTGCTGTGTTAAAAGCTACTCAGCTTTCTTATTTACACAAATTTTCTCAGTTCTGGATTTTACTAAGATGTGAGACTAACTTTGGAGTTATATGATAAATGTGGAACTATATAATCTGATTTTACATGAAAGTTCAGAATAATGAGATGGTACAAATTATATGAACAGTAAGTCAGCTCTTGCTGTTCATATTTACCAAATTTTAAATACTGAAATTTCTTAGACATCACATCTTTGTTGACATGCACTTGCAATGAATTATATATAATTTTATGCTTATAACAAACTATATTGAAGTATTTCAGTGGGCTGTTCAAAAGCTTCAATATTCTGATTCTACCTTGCCAAATAGCCAACTGTCTAATATATATATAAATATTTAGAACATGTCTGACACTGTTAGTGTTAGCAACAAGACACAAAGACAGTTGCTAGCAGGCAGGGAGCTTACAGTGTGACATGGATAGTCTGTTTAATGCTTATCTCTTAACTATAACAAAATTAGGTTATGGAATTTAACTAGTGATGACAATCAAGAGTTCAATACAGTAGAGTATCTGGCTCACAGTTCAAGTTCTAACAGAAAGAAAAAAAACACTGACAAGAGTCTGTATTTCAGTGAACGTGTTTGTTGACTACTCACACATTAACCACTCCATGTGTGTTTTAAATCGTTAGTATCAACCAATATTGCTATACCATGTTTACACCATGTACTAAATTAATAAAGCAGTCTCTCCACTAGTTGATTTTTATATTTTTACCACTTTTTGAAAGTTAACCTAATTGTTTTGTAGAAAAGTGGAGTTTCTGAACTTGCAGATTCTGTTAAGGCATCAGCCATTTCCCAACAAGGTAGAGCTTTCCAAAAAAGGAAATGCATTCACTATCACTTATTTAATAGCTGTCTTGGAAGAGGTAAGCAGATGTCACATTTACATTAACTCACTGAGCTGCAACATCCATATCCATCCTTCAGAGTACAGGCACTGTACTTCCGACCTCCAGAATTCAAGCTCAGCTAACAAAATTGCATGTAGAAAATTTACGTTATACAGGTAAATTACACTATCAAAAATATTAAATATTCTTTTGCTAAGCTCATATTATGAAGAGCAATTGAAAGATATGTTTAGAATAGTTATCTATATTTTTAAAAGATAAAACAATTGTATGAACTGACTAAAGACAAACAGGAAACATCCACTGTTAAAAAACTATACATTGCTCTAAAATACAGTTCAAAAAAGTGTGTTTTTCAACACACTGACCATCATTTACAGAGGAAGACAGATCCAGAAAAACAAAGAAGAAGAAACACATTTCACCATCATTCACTCAATCACCATCTTGCCAGAAGTTTCAGGTGACCCTCCAAAATGCAACCCACTCACCTCTCCTTTAGAGTACAGGCATGTTTAGGTTAATTTTTTTTTTTAACACATCGAACGTCTCCCACCGAGGCAGGGTGACCCAAAACGAAAGAAAAATCCAAAAAGAAAGAAAAGACTTTCATCATCATTCAACACTTTCACCATCATTCATAAATAATCACTGTCTTTGCAGATGCACTGAGATACGACAATTTACATGTCATTCCAAACAGTTCAAATTTCAGTGTGTGTTATTTAAAAAATATAAGCTATGAGGGGATACAATTTTTTTCACGAAACAAAGCAAGTTGCAATGGATGTTAGACGGGGTTGGAGTTTTTAGCATAAAACACAGTTCTGTGTTTGGATATAGGAAATAACACTAAATTTAATGTGCTAATACGGCGATTTCAAATTATGACCAAAACTCACTATATGGCAACCTGTCTTTCTAATATGGCACGCGCCACCCGGTTTGTTTACGTTCTCCATGAGCACATCTCTCTGTCTGGAAACGTTTCAAAATTTTAAGTATTTTAAAATTATTGCATATTTTGTATGTACTCTGATAATACTTGTGTACCTGTATGTAAATACACTTACACACTGTGCTGGCATGCAGGTACACATTAAAACACTAAGTGTCCTTCTAGTCTTAACGCCATACTAATACATGTACTATGTAATAATCACTCTTGGGCACATTAAATGTCCTATTTTATGTTAATATAGACATTTTCATTAATCCATCTATGATATTTTCTTCAAAATTATATAAAAAAAACATGTTACATAGCATAGAAACATGCTATGTTTATATGCTATGGAGGTGTGGTAGCTGGGCAGAGGAAAAACATTACATTTTCTCTGGTCCAGCACCAGAAAAAACGTTTATAAATCTGCATTTGGCCTAGTCACTCCCCTTAACACTCCGCTTTTGTTTACAATTCTCGGCATGAATTATTCATTACTTCTCTCTTCATTTATGATGGCATCTGAAGGTAGTTGTTAGAAACGATTAAATTCAGTGAACAAGGTATGTTGATGGTATTAATATGGCTCTGGGCTGCAGTGTAGGTAGCCAGTAGATGTAGCCCAGGCGGGCTACACCTACCTGCTACCTACACTGCCTTCCTACACATGAATACTACTCACCTCTCATCCAACATTAAGACTATACATATTTTAAAGTAAATAATGGGCTGCTTTAAATATCATATATTAAGTTGGGGATGGGGAGCCAGGGCTACCTACACCTGACTTCCTATAAAGACTACAAATATATTAAAGTAAGTAATGAATATACTGTGTATGTATTTTACTTTTTATTGTGTTTTTTAATATCTAGTTCTATTACTAACTTAATATAAGTTAGTGTAAACTTGTTGTCTGACATTTATATACATTTGTAAGTGGGAAAAAATGGTGTTCTGCTTCCGGTGATGTTTGCTTTCTGGCGATAGCCTGGAACCTAACCTGCCGTATAAGTAGGGCCCTACTGTATACATTGAACACTGTACATTTCTTAGTACATACAAACACTTGCTCTTATCTCTATTTTAGGTATTAAAGTATTCTCAGTGTTCTCAATTGATAGTATCAAGATAAAATGCATCCCTAATTAGTAACCATTAACCCGGAAACGCTCCAAACGTATATATACGTTTTTTCCACATTTGAAAGTATGTAAAAAAAGTAGATTTTTTTTTTTACATTTGAAAATGACTAAAAAAAACTATGATCTACTTTTTTTTTCTTGTTATATTTGAAAATATGTAAAAAAAAAAAACGAAGATCTACTTTTGGAGCACTACACATGTGAACGTAGATCTGCTTGGGCCGTTTATGGGTTAACCCTTTGACTGTCGCAACCCCCAATCCTGAGGTGTCTCCTGGTGTCGCAAAATTTAAAAAAAAAAAAAATTATTTTTCCTTATGAAATGATAGAGAATCTTTTCCCGATTGTAATGACACCAAAAAAACGAATTTTGATGGAAAACTGACAGACTTATGCTCTCGCGAAGTTAGCGACCTCGGCGCTGTTTACAAATCGGCGATTTCGCCCACTTTGAGCCCTACTTTCAGTTAATTCCGTTGTTTCAGTCACCCAAACTCATAACTATTTCTTTAGAACTCCATTTTTTCTATTGATTGAGTACAAGAAATTGCCCATTTACCGATTTCAACTACCTAATAATGTGGTCAGAAATTTGCAATTTGGCCAATTTCACGAAAACTAAAAAATATGAGTTTGAAAATAAGGTCCAGAATGAACAATGCAGACATTCCTGGCTCTAAAATAACAATTTCTTTGTTCATCAGTCATGTCTCCAGGCCCCTATGATATTACTCTTGCTTTCTATTTTGAATTTTTATTAAACAAAAAATAGAAGACTTACTATTATGCAGACTACTGCAATACTGTAATAATTGTATAAATAACATCAACCCATTCATGACTGCATATTAGAATGGCTAGTTGGACATTTATTGGACAATGGCATCATTTGTTTACTTTTGAACATTGGCAAAAATCAAACATTTCTCCTACTTTGAGCATCATTTCTAGGTTCTTTTTATAGTAAAATCAATCAAAATTACCTTTATTTCTATAATATGTTTTCCATTCTATCAAATGAGACCAAGAAAACGAGAATACAACCATAAATACTATACGAAAATAGACCACAAAGTCGGCATTTTTATTAAAAAAAAAAGTCAGTTTTTTTTTTCTCATTATGAACTGCGTGCTCCAGGATTTTTTTTATATGGTGCACACTGACCACACAGACCCATTCTCTCACATGTGGGCCTACCAGCTTTCTCCTGCTTGATTTGAAGTCGCTAGAATTTATGAGTATATATACGTCAAACACGGTACCTCGTAAGACGTATATATACGGCCGCGACAGTCAAAGGGTTAAACATGCTAATCAATCAGATTTGTGGTTTAATACAAAACTTAAAATTCTAAATTCCATATTAAGTTCAGCACAGCACTGGAAGAATGATACTCATAATATATGAATAGTGAAGCATTGATGAACTTGACTCACGAAATTGTAATAACACAATTGCAAACAAACCACAATATGGGTTTACGCACTGGCCTGGAGTTTTACAACTCCCTTGCCATAGGTTCTAACCTCACCCGTACTATAGTTTGAATTGATGAACAGGTAGTGAAACTAAGGGACACAGTTTAAGCAGACCAATACTGTACTGTGGAAATGTATGTATGGAGTCCTAATTGAACAGTATTATTCGAGACTGCTTTTAGAATTTAAGTACTGCACATCTTTTAGGGTCTTATGGTAAACTATTCAGACCTTTTTGTAAAGTAATGGGAGTCTGCAGGAATGCAAAAGAAGAAACTTATAGTTGCTGCAATAAATAGTCACAAAGCGTGTTTGCATTAAATGTGGGACACAGAGAAGAGTAACAAGTTGTTGAAGTTGAAACTAAAATCAAGGTGTTGTATGGTAAACAGGACAATTACACAAAAAATGTTTGACTGGCAGCATAACAGGAGTCCTCAGAAAAAATGCTGGGCACCTCTAGTAGGAATTTCGTGTGATATGATAATAGAATTTTCCATAGTTGACAGCAGTGAAAGAAGGATGGTCAGAAACATACCAGTAACCATTATCTGATGAACATAAGCTTGTTGGCTACTAACATGATCAATGATATTGTCAGCAGTCTCAAAGATCTTGGTTGAGTAGAGCACTTAAAATTAATTAAAAGACAGTCCCCCATTCAGAAGATTGGTAGGTCCTGGTCTATGGAAAATGTAGATGTCAAGTTTGATGACCTGAACACCAGAATGCTGTACAACCCATCAAGACTATCTCAGTCTGCTGGAGATGCAGCCAGTGATTGAATGCAAAGGATGATGGGCTAAGGGAAGCAAAAGCTCTGGGTCATTCGTAATGCACTAAATCTGGAGACCAACAAATGGAGTGTTGGTAGAAATGCGGATAATGAATGGTGAAAAGGTTTTATAACTTTGTTGTGAAAAATACAGTACTAGCTGTCTCCAGCAAGCATCCTTGCACGATACAACATGGAAAAACTTCTATGCATCCATTCCATATATACGAGAGTCAGGGCATAAACTGTCTTTCAAGTTTGTGGTGCTACTGAAAGTCATCTGTATATTCAGGAGGGACTGGTTTCTACAGTTGTTAAGTTTCTGACCCCCAGCAATAAGAGACAATTGGCAACAGGTGGAAAAGTTTTTTTCTCAATAACAAATGCATCTAAAACTGCTGATAACGTGTTTACATCATCGTACATTAAGTTCCCAATACAGCGAGGCATAAAAAAGTTACGAAAGTAAGATAAATACAAAGTACATACAATACTTACCTAAAAATATGGTTCTGGCCTCCCTTCTCTTATAGAATTGTTGTGCAGAAAAGCAGAAAAAAGCACCAAACATAATGATCAATGGCTCAGTTGAAAACCCAAGAAAATATGGAGCACCAAAAAAGGGAGCTGAATTATGTGGGGCTCTCTCATACATGGTTGTGAAGCTCTTATGAATTAGCACAAATTTCTGATATTTTTTGTAGTAGTTACTGTGCAAATTCTTGGCTTTTATTGACCATTCTTTATAGTGGATCCACAGAACATGTTGACGAATATTTTTCTTAGACCAATATCCTTGTCTGAAATATAATTATGGTCAATTAAGTGTGGTAGTGACAATCATGGTTAACTTTATTCATGTAGAGAATACAGTGCACCCTTGAATTTCATTATTAATTCATTCCAGAGTGTCTGCCAAAATTCAAAATTTACTATTTTCAAAATCATTTTCCCCATAAGAAATAGTGTAAATCAAATTAATCTGTTCCAGACACCCAAAAGTATTAAAAAATGTTTTTTTTTTTTACATTAAATGTACATTTATCTACACAGAAAACAATGAGACATGAAGAATAAAGCAATAATAACTTGACACTTACCTTTATTGAAGAGTTGTTGATGTGTGGAAGACTGGGAGGAGGGGAGAGGATGGAAGAGTTACTATTGTTTGGAAGGGGAATCCCCTTCCATAAAGACTTCATGTACCAAGTCCTTTTCTGTGGTTACTTCCCTTCTTTGTTTTTTAATGCCACTAGGACCAGCTTGAGAGTCACTGGACCCCTGTTGCTCAAAACGCTGTTCCAGAAAGGTCTGTTTCTGGAGTTTCTTTAAAATTTGCCTAAAATGAGACAAGACATTGTCATTGAACATGTAGCATACAGAGCCTGCAACATCTTTGTCAGGGTGATGTTCCTCCACAAATTTTTCCATCCTAATCCACATTACACACATATCCTTAATCTCTGAAGAAAGCAACTTCTTCCCTCTCTCTTCCTCCTCCTCTGAAGCAACTACCCTGGTACTATCAACTGCAACTACCCCAGTACAATCATCACTACTTCAACTACCCCAGTACTAACATCACTACTGCAATTACCCCAGTACTATCATCACTACTGCAACTACCCCAGGACTAACATCACTACTGCAATTACCCCAGTACTATCATCATCACTACTGCAACTATGCCAGTACTAATATCATCACTACTACAATTGTATTGTAGTAGGTTTGCAGGTCTTGTCCCAGCCTGGGCCTTTTCCAGGGGGTGATCCGGCGTTGGCCTCCCGGGTGGGGGGTACTACTATAACTATCCCAGTACTAATATCACTACTACAACTACCCCAATACTATCATCACTACTGTAACTACCCCAGTACTAACATCATCACTACTGCAACTACCCCAGTACTAATATCATCACTACTGCAACTACTCCAGTACTATCATCATCACTACTGCAACTACCCCAGTACTAACATCACTACTGCAACTACCCCAGTATGAACATCATTACTGCAACCACCACAGTACTAACATCACTACTGCAACTACCCCAGTACTAACATCACTACCACATCACCCACACCAACACTACATCTGCTTTCACTACAGTACCACAATTTTTATGGCACTATTATAGCTCTTATTACCACAATTACTAACACCAGCATTATCAATGCTTTCACTTTGGCACTACTACCACCATCACTATCACAAATGCACATCCACTGCCACTAATATCCGACACTACCATGTGACCACAGTCCATCCTCATGGAATCCAAAATTGCTATATTTCCAAGCTATGCCTGTCACTACTCTTCCATCCTTACTATATATATTCAGAGTGAGACTTAAGTTAACTAGGCATATAAAGCTAATACTTTAAATATTGTTTGCATTGATTTAACTGCACAGATTTTTAAAGATACAAGTTGAAAAATGTAGTTTAAGTCAAGAATTGACGAGGTGTTCAGTCCTCTGGAGCTACACCCGAGCCTATAGAGAATCATGGTTACTATAGGAGCTCAGGGTCTTAGGCCTGTGTAGGAGGCACGCAAAATGCTACTTGATGAAAATTACCAAAGTTGGCAGCGATTCTTTACGTTGGTGAACCTACGTCGTAGCATTCATGCTAATATTGAGAATCTCGAGCCAGGTGTGCTAATCATCACACTTTGGGAGTGGCTGAGGGACCTGCCTTACCCTGTCATCAGGAATGAGATCGACTGGTTGGAGGTTTACACTGAACTGCATCGAACTAGGAACCCATCGCCTGAGCTTGTTTAGAAGCTGTGCATCCGGGCACTCCTCTACATGGGACGGCAGGAACGGCTGCTAGTTGTTGCACTGATCTTCATGATCAGCGAGTAAATGGAAAATGAACTGCGGGGGTCATCCGAGAGTCAATGGCGTCCAGTCCCATCTCAAATGAAGGAGGTGCTATCAGTATAAGAAACTGAAAACCTCATGAAATTAAGTGTATTTTTCTTTCTTAAGGCAATACACTGGACACCTATCAACCTCAACCGATCTAAGGTAGCTGATGTTTTCATTTACATTGTTAACAACCTATGGATCTTGCAGCCTTACTTCAGCATGAAGGAAACACAGCGAGAAGGGCTGAAAATGTGTGTTGATATGGAAGCTGGCCAGCGTGCATGGTAGGTGGAGATCATATCCACATTCCAGCTTTTCTTCTGGCCTGCAAATGCAAAGGATTGGGACAAATATCAAGCAGAGCTAATCCCAGCAGATTTGGACACCTCGGAAGAGCCATCAACTGCAAGAGATTAGATGAAAAAGACTGCAGGGAGTGAATTCGAACAGCAGAGATATCCAACGTTAGATGATGTCCTTCCTATAGACAGGCCAGGATTCTATGGATGGTATGATCGGATCTTCCCATGGCTCAAGAGCTACTGGGAGCCACTGTTATCTTATCCTAAAATGGCTCTGCACTCTCTGTGGTAGCAGTTTTTCAACACACCGAAGTGCAGTACAGAGACTACAGCAAGAGCAGGTGATGCATAGAGTGCCCCTTGTGAAACATAACATACACTGTAAACCACAAGTGAACCAGATGTCTTGAATGCTTACCAGGTGACTTCGAACAGCAAATACACAACAGGTGACTTGAGCAGCAAATGCACGACAGGCAACTCAAACAACAAACACATACCAGAAAAATCTAGTATACGTAAACCAAGTGTAACAAGTAGTGAACTCACACTAGGTGTGTGAGGTTGTAGTGATACTGCTCCTGTGGGGAGCAGCAGCAGGATAATACTGCACCACCTCTCGGGGCCCTTAACAACAACAACAGCTTGGTGTGTCATGGGCGCCAACACATGGTGTGTGATTCTCTTCTTTTATATCCATATATTAGTGATGCAGATTACACGGCGAGTTAAAATATGTGGCCTGTAGTTATAACTTTTCTCTTGACATATGCAAGACATCACCATCCCTGTAGAAGCAGTTATTAGATGTACTAGTCATTATATTTTGTTGTTGCAGAAGTACTATGAAGATTCTATGTTCAATAAAGCCTAGAGATAAGGCCTGTGTTTCTGTCACAACAGAGATAAAAGCTGGTTTACCACTTAATCCAGAGTTTCAATAGAGGGGATTGATGAGGATATTACATCATATTTTCTATTTTTTTTTTTTTTGAAATATCAAACATACTAATTATTTATAGTAGATAAAAGGTCAATGGGTAAAGCTCTTGAATGTGCATGTTTGTAGAGGAGTAACTGATGCGTCAGTTCATTATTTAGTAGTAAGTAATAGATGGAAGTACAAGAACTATTAATGACTAAGAGTGAAGTGAAAGTGAGTGAATTAAAGGAGGAGACAAGGTAAGCTATAAGCAATTACTGGGAGAAAGGTAGGGTAGAGAGTGCAGACAATGAGGAGGTGCTAGATTATACAGCAAAAGTTTTTGGGTATAGGAGGGTGGGTGAGAATGGAAAGAGAAACAATTGGTGGAGTGTGGTAAAAAGGGTCGTAAGGGTGAAAAAGTTCATGCTGTGAGGTTTTTACAATGTAGAAATGATACATGGAGGGCAGTGTACATAAACATGGAGAAAAAGAGGTTAAACAAGTACCAGTTAAAGAATACATGAAATTTGTCAACAAATTTCATTGAGAAAAGGTTTTCAGACGAGATTAATAGTTTGAGAATGCATAGGAAGCTGAGAAATGGTTTTGGAGTGAGATTAATAGTATGAGAATGCATGGGAAGCATGTAAACTTAGCAGTTAAAAACTAAAATTTCTCTCTTATTAAATTAATGTTAAGCGCCAAACCTATGCGGGTTGCACAGAGCAAGATGGGGGTGAAGGCTCAATCTTCTGTCTGCTGAGCATGAAATGGAGGAAGTAAATATACTCATTCACCTATATGTGGTTGCAGGATCAAGTCATCAGCCCCTGGCCCTGTGAATGACGTGGGAGTGAACTTGTTGGTAGATGGGTTTATGAAAAATGAGGTGAACCAGAGAACAGATGAGGAAAAAGTGTATTGTTGGTCCCAGAAATTGTTAGAAGGATGAGGTAAAAGAGGCTTTGATTGCTAGGGGCTCAAGTATCCAATTGAAATAATTGGACCCTAATGGAAATAAGTCACTTTGCCTAACTTTTTTTTTTTTTTTTTTGGGGGGGGTTATCCTAGGTAATCTACATGTATGCTGCTATGTATGATAATTTGTGTAGCTGTATTTATGTGTACCTGTACCTGAATAAACAATTACTTGAGCTCGTGTGAACTTGTTATAACTGAGCCAACGGAAACGTGTGGTTTTTATGGCTTGTGGTGCACTGTTGGAGTATGAGCAAGGTAATGTGGGAAGTGGAAAGTACAATTCCTGCACTTTGGGTGGAGATGTGGCAGAGAGTTCGGAGTGATATTTAAACGGTGATGATGTTTGCGCACTTCCGTCAAGACAGCTGCTGAATGAATTATGGTTGATGCATTTCTATTTTTGGAGAGGGACCTGCCCTCTCAATGATTACATTTTTGTTATACAGTGGTACCCTGAGTTTCGTACATTGTAATTTATTCCAGAAGGCTGTTTGAGTGCTGTTACCGAACGAATTTGTTCCCATAGGAATAATGTAAATTAGATTAGTTCGTTTCAGACCCCCAAAAATACACTTACAAAAGCACTTACATAATTGTTCGAGTTGGGAGCTGTACGAAACTCGGGGTACCACTGCATTTTTAAATGTTTATTCGGTAGTGTACTGCATATTGTAATAAACAAAATAGAGGAAATCAGCTCTAATATACATTTAGGTATGCATACTGGTCAGAGCCCATCGTAAGTCCGAGTTGTCGGTAAAGAGTACGTCACTAAGTGAGGAGAGGCTGTATATAATTTATATATGCATACAGTGGAACCTTGGATTTTGTCTGCACTGGATATCATGCGATTCGGATTTCAATAATTTTTTTTCGGAAAAATTTTGCTCCAGATTCCGTACCTCATCCTGGAAATTGTCCTTATCAGATGCATCCACCTGCCCAGGATGCCACCACTCTTGCATCTCTGTCTGGCTCTCTCACTGAGTGAGCATTCATCTGAAACATTTCATAATAATCCATTGTTTTTTGTGCTTGTTTATTGATTGCGACTACAAAATAAGTTCCTAGTGCCAGGCCTTTGGTAAAGAAGGTGAGAAACATGATAGAATTCAAGAAAGAGAATGTAGAAAAATACTAAAGTGGCGTATGTGTGGCCGAGCTCACCAGGATGTATGGGAAGTCAAAATCAACAATCATTTCCATCCTGGAAAAGAAAATAGAAATCAAGGAAGCTGATGTTGCGAAAAGGGTAAATATGCTAACGAAACAGAGATCACAAACAATCGAAGATGTTGAGACGTTATTGGTGTGGATCAACGAAAAACAGTTAGCAGGAGATAGTGTTGTGGAGCCGATCATTTGCAAAAAGGCATGGCAGTTGCATGCGGATCTCGTAAAGAAAATGCCTGGAACAAGTGCTGCTGTTAGTGAATTTAAGGCCAGCAGAGGCTGGTTCAACAGAGTCAAGAAGCATAGTGGCATACACAGTGTTGTAAGGCATGGTGAGGCTGCAAGTTCAGACAAAGGTGGGGCCAAAGAATTTGTTAATGAATTCAAGGAGTACCTAAAAGCTGAAAGTTTCGTCCCCTAACAAGTCTTCAATTGTGACGAAACAGACCTCTTTTGAAAGATGCCAAGGAGGGCCTACATCACACAGGAGGAAAAGGCACTGCCAGGACACAAGCTTATGAAGAATAGGCTAACTCTTGTTCTGTGGTAATGCTAGTGGGGATTTCAAAGTGAAGCCTTTACTAGTGTATCACTTTGAAAATCCCGAGTGTTCACGAAAAACAATGTTGTCAAGAGTAAATTGTGTGTGATGTGGAAGGCTAATAATAAGGCAAGGGGTCACGAGGCAAATTTTCATTGACTGGGTCCTTGAAGTGTTTGGCCCGAGTGTGAAAAAATACCTCCTGGAAAATAAATTGCCACTCAAGTGCCTCCTGGCACTGGACAATGCCCCTGCTCATCCTCTAGACTTAGAAGACCAATTGTTTAGGGATCTCAGTTTGATAACAATGAAGTTCTTGTTTCCTAACACCACTCCTATCATCCAGCCCATGGACCAGCAGGATATTTCTAACTTCAAAAAACTCTACACAAAAGCTATGTTTCAAAGGTGCTTTGAAGTGACTTCGGACACTAAATTGACCCCAAGAGAGTTCTGGAGGAATCACTTCAGTATCCTCCATTGCATAAGCCTTATAGGTAAGGCTTGGCAGGGAGTGACTTGGAAGTCATTGAACTCTGGTCGGAGAAAACTGGCTTGAATGTGTCCTCGACAAAGATTTTGAAGGGTTTGAGGCTGACCCTGATGGCCCTACACCTGTTGTGGAATCTACTGTATCTTTGGGGAAGTCCATGGCGTTGGATGTGAGTGGCCAGGATGTGGAAGAGTTGGTGGAGGACCACAGGGAAGAGCTAACCACTGAAGAGCGGCAAGACCTTTATCTGGAACAGCAACAGACCAAAGCTGAGGAAATTGCTTCAGAGGAGGAGGAAGAGAGAGGGGAGAAGGTGCCTTCTTCAGTGATTAAGGACATTTGTGCAAAGTGGAATGAGGTGCAAACTTTTGTGGAAAAATATCACCCTGATCAAGCTGATACAAATCGTATCTGCAACATGTTCAGTGACAATACCTTGTCCCATTCTAGGCAAACTTAAAGAGACGCCAGAAACAAGAGCTCTCTGGACGGATTTTTTAGTACGACAGTGCCAGTCAAAGACAAAGGAGGGAAGTAACCCTGGATAGGGCTTTGATACCTGAAGTCCTTATGGAGGGGGATTCCTCTTCCAAACAATAACCTCTGCTGCTCCTCCTCCCTCTCCCCACCTTGCCGTCCATACCCCAACATGAGTCTTCAGATTAGTGTGATGTTATATGCTCATTTATCCATTTCATTAATCATTTATATTTCTTTTTCATTGTTTTCTGTATGTAAAACTACAGTTATTCTTTAAAAATGTATTTTTTGTTAATATTTTTGGGTGTCTGGAACAGATTAATTGTATTTACATAATTTCTTAGGGAAAATACTGCTTTGATTTTTGTCCGTTTTGGATTTAGACCGACCTTTTGGAATGGATTAAGGACGAAATCCGGGGTTCCATGTATATTTACTTGTAATTAGTCAAACTCTTGAAATTATATATGCACGGCCCCTTGAGGGTTTAGCGCTTCGCCATGAATATAATTTTAAAATAAGCGAATCAAAGCCTCACAGACCAGCACCGTTTTGCTCACAGCAGACTCTTGAGTGATAAGCAGACACACTAGGGTGGTGAGCAGACACACTGGGTGGTAAGCAGACACACACTGGGTGGTAAGCACGCACACACACGCACACACACACACACACACTGGGTGGTAAGCAGACGCACACACTGGGTGGCAAGCAGACACACACACTGGGTGGTAAGCAGACACTGGGTGGCAAGCAGACACACACACACTGGGTGGTAAGCAGACACATACACACTGGGTGGTAAGCAGACACATACACACTGGGTGGTAAGCAGACACATACACACTGGGTGGTAAGCAGACACATACACACTGGGTGGTAAGCAGACACATACACACTGGGTGGTAAGCAGACACATACACACTGGGTGGTAAGCAGACACATACACACTGGGTGGTAAGCAGACACACACACTGGGTGGTAAGCACGCGCACACACACACACACACACACACACACACACACACACACACTGGGTGGTAAGCAGACGCACACACTGGGTGGTAAGCAGACGCACACACTGGGTGGTAAGCAGACACACACTGGGTGGTAAGCAGACACACACTGGGTGGTAAGCAGACACATACACACTGGGTTGGCATAACAGAGCACATACACACTGGGTGGTAAGCAGACACATACACACTGGGTGGTAAGCAGACACATACACACTGGGTGGTAAGCAGACACATACACACTGGGTGGTAAGCAGACACATACACACTGGGTGGTAAGCAGACACATACACACTGGGTGGTAAGCAGACACACACACTGGGTGGTAAGCGCGCGCGCGCACACACACACACACACACACACACACTGGGTGGTAGGCAGACACACTCGGGCAGTAGGCAGACACACTGGGTGGTAAGCAAACACACACACTGGGTGGTAAGCGCGCACACACACACTGGGTGGTAAGTAGACAGCGTGGTAAGCAGACACACACACACACACACACACACACACACACACACACACACACACACACACACACACACACACACACACACACACACACACTGGGTGGTAAGCAGACACAGGGTGGTAAGCAGACACACTGTGTGGTAAGCAGACACATTGTGTGGTAAGCAGACACACTGTGTGGTACAAGGTGGTGTGGGCCTCACCATGATACTAGGTGCTGTGTGTATACATGTGAGGTGATAAGCATGACTCAAGACCCAAGTTTACCAGACGAGTTTCTTGAGTAATGTCTTGTGAGAGAGTGAGGAGTGGGGGGAGGTATAGGGGGAGGTGTGGGGGGAGGTGTGGAGGGAGGTGTGGAGGGAGGTGTGGAGGGAGGTGTGGAGGGAGGTGTGGAGGGAGGTGTGGAGGGAGGTGTGGAGGGAGGTGTGGAGGGAGGTGTGGAGGGAGGTGTGGGGGGGAGGTGTGGGGGGAGGTGTGGGGGGGAGGTGTGGGGGGGAGGTGTGGGGGGAGGTGTGGGGGGAGGTGTGGGGGGAGGTGTGGGGGGAGGTGTGGGGGGAGGTGTGGGGGGAGGTGTGGGGGGAGGTGTGGGGGAGGTGTGGGGGGAGGTGTGGGGGGAGGTGTGGGGGGAAAGGAAGAGAAGCACCAGCAGCTGTTTTTGTCTTGTTCCATGATGCACAGCCACCAGCAGCACCAGCTGGCATTTTGACGAAAGGCAGCAGCACCAGCTGGCATCTTGATGCATGGCA